CCACACACCAAGCAGCAGTGGCTCAGGGTAGTGGGTGGGGGCAGCAGCCACATGTGGAGCAGCGGCAGCACAGGGGAGCAGGGTGGTGGCAGTTGCATATGAGCTTCCCCCCCACCATCTGGCCAGTCAACTGGAAATTCTGGTCAGTAGAGTGTGCCGGTATTTTTATTTTACTGTATATAGCTAAAGTGATGGAACTTGTACCTACAGTGAAAATTTCTCACATTGGCCCATGTTCAAGTTTATTTCATCTTTGTCCAAAATGCCATAAACATCAAGCACAGAGAGGAGGTGCTCACTCAGTGGGAATTCTGGCGAGTCCCTAGCACCCTGGGGATCCCTAGCATCACTAACAGGAAAAGAAGCCAAGGCTGGCCATCCTCACTCCTGAAAGAAAAACATGACATTTGACCAGGAAAAGCACAACTGGAAGTGTATTGGTGGTAGACAGAGCCAACACAAACACAGAGAAAAAATTTCTAATAAAAATAGTAACATTTTAAGTCATCATAACCAAATTCTACTCAGAAATCTTGTTAAGCAGGTTAACTCTCAAATTCTCCAAAACAAATTAAAGCAGCTGTTTAAAACAGACTGCAGTTTTACTAATGATGTTTTCTTTATTCATTACAATTTCCACTATTTAATTATATAGTAAAGTTACTGGTCCTATGTATGACTGTAAACTGCATCCGACTGGAGGGCTAGTTGGCAATGTGGTGGGACTACTTGTGGTGGGGTAGTTCCTATAAAATACCACAATACTGCAACCTCTAGAGCAGCGGTTCTGAACCAGGGGTACATGTACCCCCACGGGATACGTGAAGCCTCATCAGGGGGTATGTGAGATATATTTCATACATTGTCTAACAGAGGTCAAAGGGCCTGAAAAATGAATTTCCCATTGAAAGGGAGTATGTAAAGTCTCACTCTGAGACCAAGGAGTATGTCGACTGAAAACGGTTCAGAACCACTGCTCTAGAGTAAAGCAAGTATAGAACACCTCAAAACCCTAGCTTCCACCGTCCTGTGGGGAATCCTTGGTTGGAGAAAAGCTAAGTGACACCACCCTGACAGAAACATACCAGTCAGCAGCAGCTCTAATCTGTTGCTCTCTGGGAGAAATTACAACCATCAAGGCACTGAAGTCTGGACTTGGCCTGGCTTTTGGACACTCTCTCAACCGTCTAAAGTAATAATAGTAAGTCTAAGGCAGCCTCCACTCCTCCATACTTTTGTCTAGGTATACACACTGAAGGTCTTGGTGTGATGGTCACATAGACTTCTTAAGCATACACCATGATCCAGAGTATCAATAGTTGCCAAGTATTGTAGTTATATTCCTAGAAAATGCAGTATATGTTTATTTCATATGATGCATGTTTTTCCCTTTTCATGGCAAGCTTACTTAAGAAAACATTAAAAAATCATTTACAGCAGAGGCAGAAGGGCAGGGCAGCACCTTAGACTAACTGGTTTAGAGAGGCGTAGGCTTTCATAGGCAGCAACTTGATTCATCAGATGCTGTGAGTGGACTAGCAGAAAGAAGAGGGCCAGGGGAGGGGATGCTGCTGAGAGAACTTATTATCAGGTCAGCTCTAAGGTGCCACCCTCCTCTACCTTCTACCCGACTTCAGGCTCACACAGCTAACAACATCTGTTAGAGCAAAGGAAGAAAGAACTAGCTTAGGTTTGACAATCTTATTTTAGTATTTGCTAGCATTGAACAGTTTTGTTCAGATGCTGCACCTTAGTTTATTTAGGGACACAGCATAATGACAGCAGTCCTTTCATTGTTATAATTAATACTCTGGATACCTGCAGAGCTGTTACATTTCAGACTATGTATTGATTTTCCTGTCTTACCATGAACACTTCCCAGTAGAATATCACCAGCTGCTGAAGACAGAAATGAAGACTCTGCATAAAGATACTTGGTCTTTAACAAACCGTCCTCAGTAGATATGCTGATAGATGTTCCCTGCAACTTCTCTATATTCACACTCTGCAAGAAAAATAAACTGAAATACGCTTCCTTGAAATAGGCCAATACATTTGGAAACCAAACTGAGAAGTAGAAGAACTAAAAGGAACTATGTAACACACAGTTGCCCACGTACAAGACAAATGGCAAGTCAGATGCCAGCTAAAAGTTATGTATAACACAAAATAAATAATTGTACTTTGTACTTACACCCAATATCTTTAAAACAACTTCTGCATAATAATAAGTTAATCTTGTCAATACTTCTACTCAGTAGGGAATGACTGTTGTATTCATTTTCCAGAGTACATACCAGAGACAGGGAGGTAAAAACAATTTTTCACAGTAGCACAGGGAGTCTGGCACAACCAGGAACAAAACAAAGGTAGAAGGATTCCAATACCATGCTACTAGATCAGCCACTGGCTAACTTTGTGAGAATGACTTACGTGAAAATTTGTGATAAAACACAAAGCTGAGTGTGACTACTGTTTGAGAGCACCCAGAAACCCAAGTCATCAGCCAGGACCTGAAGCTAAGTAGAACTTTGAAGGTGAGCATGAGGGATCTGAATCTAAGAGGGATGGAAAGAAAGGAGTTTGAGGATAGCGTTTTGGATAGAGGGGCTGGATGCAGGGCAGGGGCCAATAAAACAGGGCTTTTGTGCAAACAGCCAAAGTTATGATTGAACTGGATCCATACATAATGAGCACATTACCATAAGAACTGAATTCTGGTCTTTTTCTGTTCAGCTTGATTTGAATTGTGTAATCATACAATAATTCAGGTTTAAGTCTTATTCAATGTGTGTTTAATCTGCCAGCTCTGCCTTTTCCTTAATGAAACATATTTCAAAGTCCTTATCCACTGTATGAAAAGATTTACAGCCCTGCAGCATAAATTGTGTCTTACATCAGCTCATCTTAAAATCCATTTTGGCATTTTAATGTTATTGCCACCTTATAAAATGAACAAATTCGTAAGAAAAAAAAATCAGTCTGTTGCCAATTCCAATGCTAATGACCTCTGTAGCATCTGATGTAAAAAAGTTCTTATAAATATGAAGATCTACCAATGATAAATAAAAAGCATATGCAAGTCTAAAGAAAAGAAGCTTTCACCCTCATCTTCTGGTGTGTGAAATTTGGGCAGCTAACAGTTTGTGAATGAGAGTCTTACTCCTGTGCTGGCCCTTTTATACTATGGGAAAAAGGCCATAATAGCACAAAAAGAATATTAAAAAGCCCTATCCCTGGCTGATGAAGGGAAACATTCCCTAGCACAAGCAGAGTAGAAGACAGTTGTAAAACTATCCCCTGAGCGTACCATTGCCCTAGGCCCACAGGGCATGCTGACAATGACAGTAATCCTGGAGGCAGTGGCAAAACAAAGCACTGCAAATTTCAGACAAAAATGCCACGATCCCAAAGAATGACCTGAGAGCTGCTTTAGCATAACTCAGCCCCAAGGGCCATCTAATTTGAGGTCCTCTCTAGGCTGCAGAGCAATCCACAATCAGGAGGGCACAGGTTAAACTTAAGCTTTAGAGGTGCAACCCAGAATTCTGCACTATAGTTTTATACCCAAGGTAGGCCTCAGATAACAATAAGATCCACCACCATATTAAAGAATATTTACACGATTGAAGTCAGCAACATCTTTCAAGGATTCTGCAGTGGAACAGCTGAGGAAAAGGCAGAGCAAAGGACACCAACAGGCATGATGCAGAAGACTCAGCAGTCTAGAGAGCAGGACATGCAGGGCCCCAGAGATGGGGAGCTAGGACCACTGTACCAAGAAGGAAGAGAAAAGTGGTGGTGTTGAGTGACTTTCTGCAGGAAACAGAGGCCCAAATATATCATCCAGATTTGGGGTCCCAGGAGGTGTGCTATCTGCATGGAACCTAAATTCAGGATGTCACAGAGAGCCTGCCAATGCTCATCCATTTCTCAGACCAGTACTCTTTCCTGTTTTTCCATATAGGCACCAATGATACTGCCACAAACAACACAGAGGAGAAAAGAGGTGACTTACAAGGCTCTCGGCAGGGGGGGGCTTTGAGCACAAGTGGTGTCCTCATCAATCCTCCCCATGGGAGGCAAAGGCCCAGGCAAGGACCACTGCATCATGGAAGTAACCATGTGGCTGGGACACTAGAGTTGGCGTGAGGGCTTTAGATTCTTTGACAATGGGCAGATGTTATCCATCGGACCAGAACTAAAAGGAACATCTTTGGGCATCACCTGGCCAACCTAGTAAGGAGGGTTTTAAACTAGATTCCATGGGGGTTGGTGAACAAAACCCTCCAGCAACAGAGGAAACAAACCAGAGGGGAAAGACTGGAAGAAGCAGCTCAACTCTGAGAAAGGGCCAGAAAGCCACAGAACACCAATAAGTGGCAGAAAAAGGGAAGTGCATAGGTTGAAATGCAAAATATGTCTGATGAATGTATACAAATACGGAAGTAAGAGAAATAAACGAGATGAGCTGGAAGCTGCAGTCTGTGGAAAAAAAACTATGATCCAACTGGTATTGCAGAGACCTGGTGGGACAGTTCTCATGACTGTGTGTCAACATTGAGGGTTACACTTTGTTGTGGAAGGGCAGGGCTGGAAGAAAAGGTGGTGTGCCAAAAATACATACACCTGTTCCCTGGTTCAGGAGGAAGAAGACAGCAGAGCAGAATGCATTTTGGTAAAGATAAAAGATGCAACAATGTAATGGTTGGAATTTATTATAGGTCACCAAGTCAGGAAAAGGAGGTGAGTAAGGCATTCTTCAAGATGACAAAATTACACAAAAGGTATGAGATGGTACTCATGGGAGACTTGAATTTTCCAGACATCTGCTGGAAGAACAATACAGCCAAATGTAAAATGTTGAGCTGGCACCTAAATTGTGCGGACGACAAATTTCTGTTCCAGAAGGTTGAGGATACAACTAGGGGATGATCTATTAGGGATCTTATCCTGACCTGATCAGGGAAAAATTAATGGAGGACATGAAAACAATGGGTAACTCAGGAGGAAGGGATCATGATATAGAATTCCAGATCCTAAGATAAGGAAGGCATGAAGTCAACAAAACTAGAATGCTAGATTTCAAAAAGGTGGATTTCAACCGACTCAAACAGTTAATAGGTACAGTGTCATGGGAAGACAGACTGAAGAATAAACATGCCCATGATCTGGGAGCTTCTAAACATTACAGTAGTAGAAGCCCAAGAAGAAACTATTCAGACACAATGGAAGCACAGGAAGAACAGGCAAGAGACTGGCGGTACAAGGAGCTTCTGAGATGCCTCAAATGCAAAAGGAAAGCATGCAGGCAATGGGAAAATAGGCAGGTTGCTAAGAAAGCCTACCAGGAAGTAGCAAGAATGGGCAGCAACAAAAATCAGGATGGCAAAGAAAGAAAGAGCTGTACCTGGTGTCGCAGGTTAAAGACAACAAGAAGAGGTTCTGTAAGTATGGTAGCTAAAATGAAAACAAAGAAACCTGTGGGTCCACTGTTCAACAGCCAGAGAGAACTCTTAACAGAAGATGCAAAGACAGCAGAGCTACTCAATAGCTACTTTGTGAAGACTGAGGCAAACTGCAACCAGATGCTTAACAAATAGTATTTGGATAAGGAAGGGGACAAGCTGAGCGAGGAAATAACAAGAGAAACAATCAGTGAGCTTCTGATGAGTCCTGTCATGATTGCTTATCATACCCTTTCCTGTTCTTACTGCTATTTTATGAGCTGGCAGTATGTCCCGACTTTCTCGCCTGCCACATCTTTGATGTTATTATTATCAATATTAATTTTAGATGTTATTAGCGTTATTTATTCCTTTAGTTTTCTTCTACCACAATCTTTTAATGGGGCTCACATATGGGTTGTATAGCTCATTTGATACACTTACTCTTGTAGATGAAAGTTAGAAATTCAATCACTGTTTGGTTAAGACCAATTGTTTTTCTTTATTTTCCTTTTACATTTGTTCAAATCCTACACAGTCAGATAGAAGAAGGTATGTGCATGTCTTTCCAGTATCTCTTAAAGTCTTAACTTTGTAACTTGTCACTTAGACTATGTTACTTTTTAAACAAAAACGTAAATTAACTGAACTTAGTATTAATGAATTTACTCCTAGAATTCTCCTTCTTCTTTTATTTTGTGCAATGTCTCTTAACTTTAAGAGAGATCTTCTTTCTTCAGATCTCCCTACATAAATCCGTTTATTTATGCTGATGGAGGACTCATCAACCAAACCCCTATTCTACTTCTAATCTTGGACCTTCTCAATGATAAAAAAAGATCTTTTAATATACACAAAGAGTTTAAGATATAAATCCTTTTCCTTGTTTTGTTTTTGTTCACAGTATTAGAATCGGATACGTTCCTTTTTTCTTTTTTTTTCCCTCTCCCCGCTGCAGCCCCACTGCTCCCACGCCAAGTCTTCCTGTGAATCCGCCCCTCGTTGCCTCAGAAATCAAACAAAATTTACCTAGCCTCCTCACAGTTCTGTTGATGGGTCCCTCAATATTCTTTTTTCTTTCATAGACTCTTCTCTTCTCTCTCTGTTTTCTCAAGCCTCGTGACCCGCTGCTCCCCTGCTCTCTCAGAGCTTCTATCTTCAAACAGCAGCAGCTCCAGAAGCGGCATTCTCCGCTCTGTTCTGTCTCACTCACACTCGCTTCTTCACAGGTCCCCATGAACTCACGTCAGCAGGGCCAGATGAACTTCATCCCAGGGTACTGAAGGAACTCACACAGGAGATCTTGGAGTCCTTGACAATGATATTTATGAAGTTGTACAAGATGGGCAAGGTACCAGAGGACTGAAAAAGGACCAACACAGTGCCCTTCTTTAAAACATTTGTAAACATCTGGAGGAGGAAAGACTGTTCACAAGCAGCCAGCATGGGTATACGCAAAACAGATTGTGTCAAACAAACTTGATCTCCCCATCTTTGACAAAGTAACTACTTGGGCAAATGAAGGGAATGCTACAGACATGCATCTGGACTTGAGAAA